CTTTTTTTTTTTTTTTTTTTTTTTTTTTTTTTTTCCACTTCTATGCGTGCGCATACACATACTATATACGATGTTTTTTTTTTTTTTTTTTTTTTTTTTAATTGTGCCCAAGTATACACCGTTCTTGTTTTGACGGACGCTACTGATCCGTGGCATGTTCCTAGTGTGCATGTCCTCACGTGTGACCCGTATCAGTGTTCATACGTGCATGCAACTGTAACGGAGCACCTACACCTGTGATAGGTCTTTTTCCCGTTGTACGGTGAATAAGCTCCATGTGTGCTTTACACCAAATCTGTGTTGCGTTATTCTTCACATTTACCACCACGTTTGACATGTAATCATTTTTTTTTTTTTTACTCTAATTAATTTAAGGATTAGAGCTGTTTCAGGTTGCAGAGCGCACCCTCGCCGTTACCTTCATTTCAATCTTCATCTTCGTTAATATCTCCCCCCTTTTAAATACCCAGCGCGTAAATTGATTTTACAGTCGCTTCAACCTTATGTATGTCCCCATTATTACGACAGCGTGTCTACCCCACCCATTCACAAGCAGTACAAGCAGTACAAGCATTATCCGTATTGTTACTGTGCTATAGAACTATATTTATATTGAAATGCTTTTCACTTATTTTCCTTTTTTTTTTTTTTTTTTTGTGATGCGCGTGGATTATTTATATGAACAAATATAGTTTTGTATAATTGGGGGCAACCATAAAATCGAATGTACCCTCCCATTTGCTTCAGTTCAGTTCATTTTTTTTTTCCCCCCCTTTTTAGTGGCTTCGCTGGTACGAAGCATATGTGTCCTATACACATGAATTTTTGTTCCTTTTAGATTTTTCTTCATTTACACCACACCGAGGGTTGCACATCTCACACGAGAGAAAAGCGAAAAAAAAAATAATAAAATACATGCACGTGTGTGTGTACATATATATATATATGTATACCTCTATGCATACAGATTCATTTAATCCACAGAGAGTGAGCAGTTCTTCTTGATAGTTTAACGCCCATCCATGAGCCTGTGTGTTTCCCTTTCCCGTGCACGTTATAAGCGAGAGTAGGAAGTAGCACTGGCCTGTATTATACTTGCACAATAGTGTATATATACATATATATATGTACATATCTGCACACGTGCGTACGTGCTTGGACGAAGACCCGTTTCGGTGACAAGCTCAGTGGGAAGCAGCTCATTATCACACCTTGTCGACACGGAAGGAAAAAATGCAGACCAACGCTGAAATTTTAGACATGAAGGAAAATTGCGGCGCAAAGCAACACTTGAAAGGGAAGTACAAAGTTAGAAGAGCGACTAAAAGCATATATAAGAACGACGTAAATTATTATGATAAACATTACGCGAACATGAAAGAAGCAAAAGATGCACCGAGTAATAAAACACAAGAAACGAACCACTCCTCAGAAGATAATTATTACCAAAATAATATGAACGGAATGAATAATTATGACTCTTCTTTGTTAGCGGATAAAGATAATCATGATAATTCTACAAACCATGAATACGACATGGACACCTTGGACAATGACACCTCAGGGAACAGAACATATAGCTATGGAGTAGATTCGTATGACTGTGGCGTCACAGACAACGGCAACAATATGGTCAATATGAATGGGACTGCAACGGATTATAGTACATATGTGAACCCCGAAATGTATTCTTACGGAGTAAGTATGGGGAATAGCTCCTTGGGGAATAACCCCTTGGGGAACGTTGGCATGGGCCAAATGGGCAACACAAGTCATACCGCCCTCGTCAATGGAATGCACACAATGAACGGCATGAACGGCGTGAACGGGATGAACGGAATGAACGGAATGAACGGAATGAACAACGCGGCGGATTTTATGGGTCACATGGGCATGGTCAATGGGCTAAATGGTATGCTTACAGTGAACTGCATGACTGGAGAAAATGCGGCCAACCAGGGAGGCAATTTTGGGGGCGCCCACACAACGCATAACTTTGGCCATAATGAAAATCCGAATTTCATGAACAGCCATTTTTTAAGTAAATCTAAAATGTACAACAGCGGGCAAAGTAACCATGTGGATGATGCAAATGTCGAGGCGAGTCATATGGTGGCCATGAATCGACACATAAATAGTAACAGCGCGAATTTTCAACCCTACGCGCCAATGTATTATGAGGGTAATGCTACTGGCCAGGGTGATAGCAACAATAGCAATCCCTACAATGAGAACGCAAATTATATAGCAAATTACCGAAGGAATGATATAAGCATGCAAGATGGATTCCAAAATGAATCGTTCAAAGAAAATGAGCAAGAAATTATTAGTGACTCGATGGATGATTATTACGAGAAAGGCAATGAGCACCATGGGTATGTGCGCCAAAGCCTGGAGTGCACTCCGAGGTCGAGCTGTGTACCGTATAACGCCGCGTCATATGGCACCACCGATGCGTGGGGAAATAATTGCAGCAACAGCGGCAGTAACAATAGCGGCAGCAACAACAGCGGTAGTAATAAAGTCAACAACAATGGAAGGTGTAAGCGCGGCGCAAATAACAACCACAGTAATATCAACCATGCCGTGTCTTCTTATACCGTGAATAATGGCGATGATGGATATATGCACCCGAGCGGTGGAAGCTGTGCATACGATGTGGATGCGAACAACGGGATGTACGTGAACAGCAACAATGCCAGCTTGTGTGACACGTATGTGAATGTTATGAACGCCATGGGCGGCAGTGTTGTAGGTGAAAACTTCAACGTTAGTCACTCCAATGGTGCCGTCTTCAACAGCAGCAACTCAAGCAGTAAGCATGTCGAAGGCGTGAACAAGGTAGGCGCGAATGGCTGCGAAGGGATGAACACCAACTCGACGGTCAGCCATGATACCACATGCCCCATCAACTATGAAGAGGATGAAAATGATGAGGACAATGGTGCTCACGAGGAAGGCGTGAAGAGCGGCAACGACCCACGCGGATTCATGTGCGCGCCAGAGGAGGGCCATGTACGCGTTATGGGGACCACGTTGGACGCGGCGGAGAATGACCACGTACAACACTCCCATTCCATGTTCAACACAAACAAGTACAATGCATTCAGTTACAACCAGTTCTCCAGATTAGACAGTAGCTACAGTAGACGGAGCAGCACAACTAATTCTATGAACGTGTCGAGTATGAACGATTTCGATAACTCCCCATCATGTTCTAATGGCCACAATACAGCCATGCAGAAGCAGGGGCAGAATATGAAGCAGTTTGTTGAGAATGGACAGAACCAATACTTAGAACCCACCACCAATGGGTACACTAACCTTAGACCTAACGCTAGTGGCAACAGGGATATAGCGGATTGTAGAATGAATGGAATGAAAATGAAAAATGACGATGTCCCAATGGATATGAAGGGAAATGATGACATGGAGATGAGTGGCATAAGGGATAGTCAAGTAGGTGCAAATGGCCGAATTGGCAACAGCACGAGTAGTAGTAGCGAATTGGACCACTTGAAAAATAAGCCTAGGAAGAAATTCTCCACGCACATGCCAAATGAGGCAGGACGCGGAGGGGTTTTCAAAAATGTCCGCTGCAGCACTGCACAGGTTAAATACGGTGATACGAAAAAAGGAAATGGTGATGACATGGCCGAGTACAACCAAGAGGTAGAATACAATGTAAACGAATCGTATGATGTTAGTCGGGACAACGACATGAACCGTGAGGTCGACTCCAACCATCAGGTGCAGAGCGCAGAAAGTTACTCAAACGTATTAGTCGATAAGGCGCAAATGAGAAATGGAGGTACTTACGAAACTGTGCCTAATTTCAGTGGGGATAATGGGCATGTGATGTACAAGGTCGAACAAAATGTTAAGTCGAACGGAGGAGGAGGGATGCCCAATTCTGCGGATCACCTCAGAGCAGGAAGCTACCAAAAGTGTAAAAGCTACATGAGGAAAACGAGCGACCTTGCTCATATGTATGACCCTAATGGGGAAATGAATAACTCCAGCAATGGTGCCCCTTACTATATGAGCAACGCCACGTCGAAATCTTCATACTTCCTGTTGCCAAATGGGAACCCGTCCATTAATGACCTTGGCAACGGGATGAGTTACGATGGGGGTAATGGGGTGTCCACGGAGGAAGGCGTCCATGCAACCGGTACAAACACAGCGACTGTTGGAACATCGGCCGCTGCTGCAAATGTAGCCCCCGCGATGGACTATAGAAACAACATGGGCTATTTCGAAAACGGTTATGATTATGTGAACCCCCAGCCTGGAGCACATAACAGTTACACCAACCAGTGGATACACCCAATGAAGGGTTACGCTTCTGAGCAAAAAATGCAAGTACCTATGAACCAGAACTCAGGTTACAGCAGCATGAATGGTGGCAATTATCTAATGCCAAATGGGAATAGTCCTGTTAAAAAGTCCATTATTCGCGTCTACAGCAGTGTATATAACATGATGTTGTTGGCGAAAGGTAGGGGTGCTGACACTCGTACTAACGTCAACGGTGGTGTGAATAACCTGAACAGGGGAAATGATTATCCAGTGGATACAACATGTGATATGAACAGTATGCGCATGCATAATGGACATTATAATAGTAACAACTTTAATACCATGGACCCACAAAATACCTCAAAGGATTTGAACACTTTGAATAATATTATGTGCATGAATGGCGAGACTGCCATAAATCATATGAACATGTTAGTCATACCTAAGATTAAAGGAGTCCGTTTTGACAAATCAGGGAGAAGATGGGTAGCTAGCTGGAGTCAAAATGGAAATCAAAAGAGACAGTACTTTCCTATTAAGAAATTTGGCCAAACGCAAGCGAAATATATGGCCATTTTTGCCAGGATAAGGGCTGTCAAGTATATGCAGAAGAAGCCACACGTGGGAGCAGAGAATAAGAGAAGTGTGTGCAGGAAAAATGTCAAGGAAAAAATGAAGGCCGAATCGAACGATGACAATAATGACTATTACGACGAGTGTAATGAGGACGATGTGGATGGGGATGGTGATGCCGATGTTGATGGCGATGCAGATGGCGATGCAGATGGCGACGGCGCCTTCAACTATGGAGTGCAAAGCTGTGCCGACGAAAACGAGGGATTCTACAACCAACGTTTGACGAACGAAGCCCCAAACGAATTAGGCGATGAATCTACGCTGAGAAACAACTACTGCGGGCATCAGGATACACCATGTGGCCTGACGCAGAATGGCATGCCCATTAACAACAACGATGCCACACACGATATGGGGGGTTGTAATTTTCAGACATATGCCCCTGTGAATTCATCCCCGAAAGGTACTAATGGGGAGCAGGACGAAGCGACTGATCCAGCGCTGCAAAGTATGAAGACAAAATATGAACTGGAGGAGAACCCCCAAATGATGCCCTTTCAGATGCATGGCGGAGGAGGCACAAATGTAAATGAAGCGTCTTCTCACCAGATGGCCGTTTCGGAGTGGGTGCACGGATATAATCGACATTTTGGAGCGTGCCCAGAAAATGCTATTTTGAAGGGAGATGATCGCGAGGAAGGGGAGCAGAATTTGGTGGAGGGGGAAGAAAATAACGCACAGGCTGAGAATTGGCAAGACAGGAATGGAGATTCCCTCTTAAATGGTGTCAACCATGATGACGAAAATGCACATGAGATGTCTGGAACGGAGAAAATGAACAAATGTGATGAGGATGATAATGGGGCGGAAAACTGTAACGATGCCGAGGGAGAAATGGTTGACCAAGAACATGCACATCCCCACCTAGAGGACACGGAGGGACAAGGAACGAACAGCGAGGACGCGGATGCAGACGGAGAAATGCCCCACGGGGACGACTCCGAAACGGATGGAGAACCCCCTAACGAAATGAAGCATGCAATGAAGCATGACCGTGTTGTAAAGACACAGCAACAGACGCACGGGAAGGAAAACCAGGTCATTTTAATGAACGTAAATCTGATTCAAATGAAAGGAATAGTCGACATAGAAAAAGGAAAGGAACAAAGCAACCACGTAAAGGAAAATTTGAAGAATCTCATTCTAATGGTAGAAAGACTGAAAAGGAGAAAGCTTGAAATATGTAGAGACGAAAATGGCCAAGTCGTGTTCAACCTAGGCAAAGAAATCACAGAACAGTTCACCAACAACCTTGATCAACTTATTGAGCTAAACGAAAATGAAACAATGATTCTGTTCACGCATTTGAAGGAATACTATTTATGTGAGGCGAATTTAAACAGCCATGGGAAAAATGTGAACCTAGAAATTCGTAAAAATGAAATAAAGGACCATGCAAATGATGAACAGGGTAACCATAAGGAACAGCTTCCAATTGAAAAGACAGGCGAACCGTGCAGTGGTGAAAGTGCATCCGATGATGGTATGTCGAATGGGAACAGATTTAAAAGACAAAGAAGTGACGCATGTGTAGACGTACTTACTAATATGCAAAAGTCAACCCATGCCATGAGGATAGGATGTTATGACCAATTGGACACAAAAGGTGCATTGGGTGCACAAAGTTACGAAATGGAAGGCTATGGGAATTGTGGTGCAGACGTGGAATTGACGAACGAAGAAACATACGAGCAGACAAGTGAGGGCACGTACGAGCAGACCGATGCGTCCACGCTCATGGAGAATGGGTCTCTTAATGACATGAGCAGATACAATGGTAGTAATGAAAACACGTGCTTTGGTGCAGATGTGGATGGGGAAATCTCTGCCGGGGTGGCTGAGTCCTTGGGGGATGATGATGGTGATGGTTCTACTGGTCGAAGTGCTAACCAGCTGGTCTCGGGCATCTCAGACGAAGTGAGCAAAAGTGGAGAGGACACAGATTGGAGCAGTGATGATGTCCCGGGCAGCAGATGTAGTAGCGACACAGATGAGCAAGCCGGGCTGGAGGATCCAAGCTATTTGAGGAATCATATGATCGCGTCGCAAAAACTATGAGAAGGGCAACTCGTTTAGCGCATCTGGGGACTAATTTGAACTGCCCTCTGTGCGGGGCCCCAATGCATATGTATTTATTTACATATCGTATATCATCATGCGTTCAATAAGTGCACGCTCTACATCTTGCCCCGCACACATGAATTTATTCTCTTGTTCGTAACCTGCATGTACTGTTGTAGTACCCATGGCTATTCCCCCCCTTTTTTTTTTTTACGTTTCCACATAATATTGTGTATCCTCTTTTTTTATATCTCGAAAGAGAAATAAACTTATTCAAAATGTTAAAAAAAAAAAAAAAAAAAAAAAAAAAAAAAAAAAAAAAAAAAAAAA